TTATTCCACTGAGCCATCTCCCCAGCCCGTCGGCCCTTTTTTTTAGACAGAGTTTTCACCATTTAGTTCAGGCTGGATGCAAACTCAAACTCAAAGCAGTCCTCCTGCCTCAGCCTGCGGTGTGCTGGGATTACAGGCATACACCAAGCCCTGCTATTTGTTCTGTCCTGCGCTTCCCTTTCCCTCCTTTCCCCTCCCCTCCCCTTTTTCTCTTTTCTCCACAGCTTTGTAGTTTAGGCTGGCCTTGAATTGACTCTGTAGCCCAGGCTCCCCTCAGCCTCCTGAGCACTGGGATTGTAGGTGTGTGCCACCATTCCTAGCTGTCTGGGCAGTTAGACTCAGTGTGAAGATGCTGGTTCAATTTCCAATACTATCAAAAAACAAAAAAAAAGTTAACTTTATTGTATTGCTCAAGTATGTATATACATAAAACTGGGTAAAAATGTTATTTTAGTTTTCATGTATAACTGTAAAATCAAACAATTTTCAGAAATGGGTATGTGTAGACAAATGAATTTCTACCTTACACATGAAATGGCACATGGCATTATGCAGCCTGTGCTGCTGACTCTGGGCTGAGTCTGATTGCTTGCAGCCACTGTGTTCTTACTGTGATCAGAAGAGAACACAATACCAAAGCATCCTTGTGGAGAACTACTGGAGCCCTGATGGTGACAGAGCCACTTGGACAAATCTTAAGTGTAGGAAAGGGGCTCAGTGGTGGCTGCCTTGCTGTAGAGTCATGCTGAGGGTCCAGGCAGTGTATCTCTGCACTCCCTGGGGACACTACTGTCTCTCACCTCGGCTCCCACCTCACACTTCTTTGGGAGCTTCAGGCACCTGAGATTGCCTGGCTGACAACAGGAAGTCCTCTGGGTGGCTTCCCTTCGTGAGGGCTCCTCTCCAAAGCACCTTCTTAGCTTGTTTGGGATCACCCATCTCTGTACATGTTTCTCTTAATATTTCTGCACTGCAGCATCTTTTCCTTGCTTCTCCTTGCCATTACCTACTGATCACTTGGTCACTCTCCTGCCACCCTGATCATACCACCTGCACTTGTCTGCATCTCAGCCTCATCCCTGGCTCTCCATATTGCTGCTGCACACTCTGATGGCTGCCCTTGGCTGTTAGCCTCCCACTCCTGACTAGGATACCCTGGATTCCTTAGGGGGCTTTGTCTTCCCACAGCACCTGGACTGGGCTGAAGCACGGGGCAGAGATGTGGGGAGTGGTTTGTTTTTTTTTGTTGTTATTGTTTGTTTTTGCAGTACCAGGGATTGAATTTAGGACCTTGCGCTTGCTTGGCAGTTATTTATGCTGCTGAGCTATATCCCTGTCCCCAAGGGTTGGGGGCGAGGTTGGTTAATAGCTGTGTGCTTTTACTTTGCAATGTAAGGGATTAAACCTAGGGCCTGTCTGCACTGAGCTGCAACCCCAGGGTTTTTTTTATTGTTTTTTTTTTTGGTATCAGGAATCAAACTTCGGACCTTGTACTTCCCAGGTAGGCGCTTGTGCTGCTGAGCTAGATATCCTTGACCTCCCACACCTCTTTTAAGATGGAGTCTAAGTGGTTCAGGCTGGGCTTGAATTCATGATCTTCCTGCCTCAACCTCCCAGACTGCTGCTGGTATAAGGCATGCAGTAACACACTCAGCTGGACACTGGTTCCTTTGGAAATGGCTCCAAGTTCTGGAGGTGTGAATGGAAGAGACGTAGGTGTTGTGGTTTTTTTTTTTTTTTTTTTGGGCAGAACTGGGGCTTGAACTCAGACCCTTGAACTTGCTAGGGAAGTGCTTATTCCACTGAGTCATCTCCCTGGACCCGAGACCTAGTTTTATTACCATAGCTTTAGTTAGCTCACTGCTTGGTATCTGGTAGATAATACTCAGTAATTAAATGGTTGAAGTGATAGAAAACGAGTGTTGGAAATGTCCAAAGTAAGGAACTGGATATTCCTTGGTCAAGAAAAAGTGATTAGGGTCAGCAAAATAGCTCAGCGGACTAACCGCCTGCTTAGGCAAGCACAGGGACCAAGCTCGATCCCTGGCACCACATGTCACTGAGCCAGCCATGGAGACCAAGCTTGTTAGTGGACACCTATAATCCTAGCACTGGGGAGGCAGGATCACTACGAGTTCAGGCTGCATACCCTGTACCAAATACATTTAAGAGAGGTGGGAGGGAAAAGGAGAGAGAAAAAGAAATTGACTTAAATTCATTAGTGCTTATCCTTTTCCTGTGTTTACTTTTTTGTTTTGTTTGTTTGTTTTTGGTGGTACCAGAGATTGAACTCAGGACCTTGTGCTTGCCAGCCACAAGGATAAGCTATCTCCCAGGCCCCTACTTTTTTTGTGTGTGTGTGACAGTCTCACGATGTAGCTCAGGCTGACCTCAACTCCATGGTATGATCCTTTTGACCCCACACAGCTTACTATATTTAATTTTTAAAGTTTTATTATTAAGAACATTCCCAAATACCCAGAGAGATAAGAGAATATTACTGGGAATATTCAATACCTGTGGCTTCAAGTATCCAAACTTTGCACGCCCTGCTTTAGCTTTCCCTAGGGGCATCCCTTTTCATTGTCTCTTTTAGCAGGCCCAGAAGCTATCTCATTAGCAATTCAGTGAATCATTTAACCAACCGGTTTGCTGGTATTTGCCCAGAGCACTGCAGTTGTTAGTATGGGGGGGGGGGGGAGAACACACGGACCTGTGAAAAATGTTCACAGGTCCCTATGACACCCCCTAAGCCCAGTTTATTAGTTGGATTCCATCTGTGGTTTCTAGTCCACAGCACAGGCTGTCTGGGAGGGATCTGGGCTGCGTTCACCAGGCTGGACTACTTGGCCTGGGCCACTGCTCTGTGCCGCAGAACAGTGGTAAATAGGCTGGAGCCCTTATGGGGGCAGGAGCTGCAGGCCTTGCTACGAGGGGCCTAGGAGAGGCCTGGGTGCAGAGGCTGTGTAGTTGAGTGGGAGGGTGACCCCAGTGGCAGGCAGCGGTGCCTTTCTGTCTCAGCTGACCTCCTTTCTGTACCTCAAAGCTAGCTGTCTTCTGGT